AATCCTGTATCCAAACATCTTTCATGTGGGATGTATTGGCCAAGAATGAGCAACAGGATTCCATTGCACCTGCTCTTTCACAATCTTGCCCCTCCTCTATCAGAGGGTAGATGCTAATCTCTTCTTCTGAACTTTTGTTCAGAAGTGACTCCTAAACCTAAGTCACAAAGGTCAATACAAGTTCCACCTTGTGCTATCACTGAGGTTTCATCCATGGAATTTAGGCCACATGGAGAACCAGAGTCCCAAAATGCAGACTCTGCTGAGCTTCCAGTGGAAAGTCAGCACCAACATGCCAGGCAACTGAGTGAGATGTCTTAAAATTGGGTCCTCGGGGTTGAAGGTGAACTGTCTTAGGCAATACTGCCAGGAGCAGAGACCACCCATCCTTCCTGAACCCCACCCAAGTGCAGAATTATAAACAAAATGAATGATCATTGTTTGAAGCCACTAATTTTGGGGCAGTTTGTAACATAGCAATAACTAACAGGAGCACGAGATAAAGGGTCATTCTTGCTATAATTATCCAGAGGGCTGTTTCCCAAAGATTCCCTTCCACGCCTTCTTTCTTTCCTCTTTTAGTATGTGCAATAGGAACTAAATTGAAGCTAATAAAAATTAGTCAATGCGGAGCTGGTGAGATAGAACCATCAGCCTTTCAAGTACTGGAACCTAAGCTCAATCCCCAGAACTCATTAAAAAAAAAAGTGTGGTAGTCACACTTGTAACCCCAGCCCTGGAGAGGTGGAGACAGACTGTTGTGAGCTGCCATGTTGGTGCTAAGCATCGAACCCAGGTTCTCTGCAACAGCAGCAGTGAAGAGCATCTCTCCAGCATGTTCTTTAATTTTCAGAAAGTAACAGATCACACTTAGATTTTCTCCCAAAACAAGTAAAGGAAAATTCTAACGGAGAAGGAGCAGTGGTGTTTCTATTTTCTGGGTATCTTTTAGGATGTCTTTTTTAAACAATATATGGTGCTTCATTTTTCCTGTGCTATTTCATCTTTCAAAAAAAAAAATCTCTCCTGCTACAGTAGTAAAAGGCAACCACCACATCCACCTCCTGTAATGGTATTTTCCCCAAGTAGGGAAGCTGCTGGGTCAAAATGCATCCATGTGGGCTATTAATCCTTTCCTCAATAAGCATTAAACTATGTATCTAAGATGCCAGCTAGACAATTGAAATTGAGAGGGACCTAGAAGGAGTCTACTAGTCCTCTGGGGGCCCTGTTTGGTTTGGGGCACTCACAGGAAGATGAAGTGGTGACATCTGGAAACAGCCTTGCCTTTGGCCTTTGAGGCCTCCCATGAGTCTCTGGTGGCCCTTTATTTTCACCTCATTTCATTGAACCAACGCACATCCAGGCCTAGATAAATATTTGGAAATTATCTGACCTTTGTTCTGTGCCCTTCAATCCTCTTAGGAAACCAATTTTGGACTTTGAAGGAGTTTGAAGACCAGTCACCAAAACTGGATTGATATCAGAGCCAATTGCGGGGTGAGCAATAAGGTCACAAGGATTGAACAAGGGTCTTCGAGAAGCTTGCAGGATCTCTTGGGGAAAGACCATGACCATGTGAAAAACTGCATGTAAGTTCACAGCCAGTTACCCTTGTGAAACAGTTCAAGGTCTGCAATCTGGTTTTCTGAGGACTTTTCAAGGATTCTGTCTTCCCGCCAGCTTACTACCACATGACCTGCCCTTTCCGAATCCTGCTGCTCCGCCCCACCCCGCCCCACTGCAGCCCTCAGTTGTTAATTTGCTGCCTGTTTTGCCTCCAGTTCTACAGACCTCCACTCTGTCTTTCTCTTGCCCTTCCTTCACCTCAACTCCCTCTCCCCACTTTCTTCCTGAGGAATCAGACTGAGGAGTAAGGAGGTGAGCTGTTTGGGGAAGGCTCCCTCTCCTGAAAGAGGAGTGTGAGCAAGGGTCAGGGCCCACAAGGCCCAGCTGTGTTAGAGATCCTTGGGAAAATCAGTTTTGTAATTTATGTGCTAATCAGCCCAGGATTGAGCAACTTCTCTGTGGAGAGGAAGGAAAGAAGCTTCCAGAACTGACACATCTCTGGCAGCACCGCATCTGGGACCTTTTTGTGATCTGGCTGTGTCATTCAGGCCATGTAACCCCTGCTTCCTCCACTTCCTCAACTATAAAATGGGGCTGCCACTTCCTAGCTAGCATCTCAGGGCTTTGTAAAGAGGAGCGATATTAATGACAAGCATTTTGCAACAGAAAGAACTTCAAAAGTCAGTTTCCAAAGGAAATAGTCAATTGGCACACCATACACCTTTCCTAATAGTGCATTAGCTGGCCCATATAGGTGGCTTTTAAGCATTTTTGAGCTCTCACTGCCTCAGTTTCCTCTTTGGAAAATAAAGACAATAGGACCTACCTCACAGAGTCATTTTGAGGAATAAATATGCTGCTATTACCCACCAAGGACAATACATGGTATCCATCATAAATGTAAGTTGATTCACCCACCCTTCTCAGTTTTTTATTTAGCCAGTATTACCAATCCATGATCAGAAGGCTGGAATTATTAAAGGATCCTAGAGTGATAGATTAGCATTCCTCATTTAACAGAAAAGAAAGAGAAAACTTCAATGAGGCTGAAAGCCTTGCCCAGGGCCACTCCATTTGTAGGGGAGAGATCAAGAGTTAGAGTTCAGGTCTTGTAATATTAAGGTCGGCTTAAAACCATTTTCATTCCTCTGAAGCCTGTGTTGGTATTTTTTATCCCCAAATAACCCTTCCTCATTCCAAGTTTAACCCTAAGATCACTTCATACCATTAACTGCTGCGTGCCCCAGTTCTCTGCAGCTCCCACAAACCCTGCAGCCAACCTCTTCTCCTCCAACAGCCCCCAGACCCCTGCAAAAGGCAGGAAAGGTAGCGCTTTCTCCCAGACCAGAGGATGGCACTAATGGGGACAGCAGGTGAGGAAGGAGGCTGTAGAGCCGCAGCTGCTGGCAAAGGTTGCCCTAGTAACGGTGAGGGCTCCATTCAGGAAGCCAGCCCAAGTCTGAGAAGCAAAATGATCGCCTTCCCACAGCTCCTTGCAAGCACAAAGGAGCCAGTGGTAAGGCAGGAAGAAAAAGAGGCGCAGGCAGGATGAGGTGAGGGCCCATGCTGTCAGCTACAACCTCCCACCTTTCAGAAGAGAAAAAGAAGGAAGGAGTGTAATTATTTGAATCTTGTGGCCTATGTGAACCGTAAAAATCACCCTTTTAACATGACTCCTTTTGTGGGAATAGAGGCAAACAGGCTCCCCTGTGTTCACCAGCCTCGTGAATCAAAGTATCAGGAGGGGAGAACCCCCAAACACGGCAACTTTATGGGAGCCCTAAACTCTTCTTGCACCCTCTCCTTTACTCACGTTGCTGACAAAGACCATTTGCTCCCGATTTATTGGAAACTTTTTTTTTCACAGCTTGAGCTGCTTAAATGCTGCAAGCTCCCTCTCCCCAAATCACTCTCCAACACTTGCTGAATGGGCCGGGCTCAATTATGCTCCCTCCGCAGGTTCAGCTCACACTGTGACCCTGCAAGACTTCCTGCTATTCATAGGTGTTACTTCCCCTTTGTGGTAATGGCTTGTGGCACTGGGCCAGAAAACATTATTAATTTCAGAAGTGGACTGACAAACAACCAACCCACAGTGAAACGGGAGGAAGTGCTGGGGAGCCCAGCTGTCCGCCTGAGCCCAGCAGTAGGAACTGTGTATGCAGGTCCTGGGAGGGAAAGGGATGATAATCCACGCAGAGGAAATGCACTAAAATTATACGGAGCCCTTTTTTTTTTTTTTTTTTTTTTTTTTTTTTTTTTTTTTTTTAAAGTGGGGTGGGGGGGAGAGAGAGAAAAGAAATCAGAGAAAAAAAGTAGGGATAAAAGCACTCAGCTACTTGAGCTGCAGCTGGACAGGAAATTGCTAACGCTGCTTGCAAATCCCTACTTTGAACAGGCAGTTTAGGGAATGCCAGGAGCGGAACCTCTTCAGAAGTGGATTAGCAGAAGCCAAGTTGAACTGCAGTCCGTTTCTGCTGTGTTCCTAATGACCTGAAACACCCAAATAAGAACCTACCTGACTTGGGCATTTTTCTGCAGTTTGTTTTTTGTACTTAGTTGCTCAAAAATCGCTCCCATACAGGTTGTCACAGTTACTGTAGAATGAAGGTCACTTGCTACCTACATGTAGACTACCAAACAGCCCATTTGTCCTCTCCCATGTCACTTCAGTGAAAAAGGGATTGAGCTCAGGTGCAAAGATCCCAAAAGTCCTAGCACTTTTGAGTCTCTACACACACCTGGCTTTGCCTTTGGCCTGTGTACTTTTGTACACAAAGGTCTCTGGAAAAATGATAGGATACTAAGCCTCTACCTGAGGTTCAGCAGAGGGTCCTGGCCCACATTCTAGTAACTGCTAACTACAAAAGGAGACTAGAATAGGGAAAAGGCATGTTTCTTCTCAACTGAATGTACAAATCCTAAAGCCATATTCAAGCTCATGAGAAAGCTGACACGCCACTCAAAAGCATGCACATGCATGGGGAAAAGATGTATTCTAACTAGGAGAACTTGCAATTGGACTGGAACAGCCTGGGGGGAAGATTATCCCTTCCCCCCCTTGACATATCTTAAAGAGCAGAAGATCCTGGAGGACCGGTTAACCTGCAGTTGTTATTATCTGGCAATTCATGAAGAGCCTAATCTTACACTTCAGCAAGGAATACACGGAGACTTCATTTTCCCAGGGAGGGTGAGAGTAAACTCTTAATTCAGCCTGAGCTATGTCATAAAACATAGTCTATGCACAGGATGCAGTCAGACTATCCTATATTTTCTTGATTTGAAGCAAAATGAACATCATAAACTACATCTGAAAAATATTCTAGTAAGAACTTTGCCCCTGGTATTCTTACCAGGGGAGCTGCCAGTCTCCACTTCTTAAATGAGTTACTTAATATACAACTGAGACGGTACTAAAAAAATACACATTTGATAGCCAAAATAGTTATTTATTAATAATTTAAGGTTTTACATTCTTATAATAAATTCCAGCTCAAAACTTTACATCACAGACATCGTGGAGCAACATTAACTCTCCCTTCTTCACAATCCATTGCATCCCATCTATCAAATGGGTACCCATGCTCACACACACACTTCCAGTTTTACATAATTTTTAAAAGGAAAGAAACCAACCCAAAGTATTGCATTTGAGGTGACACTCCCTGAAGAATTTGTACAGAGGTAATATACTGTTTAGCACAGCTGAAGTTTTAAAAAAAAAAAAAAGTGAGTCCAGGATTTTGGTGTCTTTCCAAGATACCCCCCTTTGAGATAACATTAGCCAAATATTTACAAAGGTAAGGCATACTCAAAAACTACATTGAGGGGGAAAAAAAAAAATCACAAGAAAGATAATGTGTAAAGACTGAAGACTGCACCATAACAAAGTCTTAGTGATAATGTCCATGAAAATGTCATCAGAATTGGTACAATAAAGTCAAGCATGCTGCAAATACACCCTTTGGATTAGAAAAAGAGCACATTTTCCATACTTTGTTTAAAGAAGAGGCGTACTGCTCTTTCTCCCTTTGGATTTCTTTTAAAACCATCAAAGATTCAAAACAAACACAAGCCAAACAAACACTGCCAAGTGATTTAAGATCAAATATTTACAATAATCAAATAGGGTATCAAATAGTTTTGCTTTGTTTTCCAAACTGATACCACAAATACAGAGCTGAAATCTCTTTGGCTCCACTATATGCAAAGTTAAATCAGTCTTCACTGAAGACAATATAGTTAGTTCCAGATGCAAAAGGAAACAGCCATGAGGCCCTAAAGAACACATGCCCTTACATCCTATACCACTTGGGCCTATCCTTTATTTCTGGAAGTCCAGTCCCTGCTTGGATAGGCTGGAGTGGAGAGCAAACCGACTGCCTGTATCTAGACAGCATGTCCTGTCTCTCCAAAGAGGATGAATGGAGCAAATCTCTCCCTCTGGAATAACCAATTTCGCACTTGGTAACCTTGTCTAATACAGACAGCTGGTGACATTTTGACACCTGGGGCCACACACAAAGAAAGCAGCCTGGCCAAAGCTGCCCAAGAGAAACTGCTGAAGGAATGGAACACTCTCAGCAAAGAGAGGTGGGCGCCCTTCACGTGGATTGCAGGGAGTCCACCTGGTAGACATTCTGGTTGGAGGGGGTGGTAAAGTAGAGCTGTTGTGCTGGAACTCGGTTATCGCAGGGGCTGCTGAGTCCCAGCGTCCTCTCGAAGTCAAGCAGCTGGCCCATGAAGTTGAAGTTGGGGGAGATGTTGGATTTCTTCATCTTGACAATGTCATAAGCATCATTCATGGACAGATTGAGCTTCTGCATAAGGTATGCCACGGTCACAGTGACTGAGCGGCTGATGCCTGCCAAGCAATGCACTAAGACACCACAATTTTTGCCCCGGGCTTCATCTGTGAACACAAAAAGAAAGGCAAGATTTCACTAGACTTAAAAACACCCTTTGTGAATGATCAATCTGAAATCTAGAAAAAAAAAAAAAAAAGATTTAAAACAACCGTGTGTGGAAGCTGGGCCCTGAAGGCAGCAGAAAATATATAACTATGATAAACATGTAGACTGAGCACAATTACATATTTCAGATATTTCCTGAAAAGGAAGCTTTTGTGATGTAAGTTTCTACCAACAAAAAACTCCTTAATGTGTACATTCTTTGCCTCAGCATGTGAATACCAGAAAGCCTGCAATATGGTCCCGAATGCCTTTTATACAGACAAGCAGACTGCAAGGGTCTATTAAATTATTCTCCAACTGTGGTGCAGCTAACAATGGAGGTATTCAGGCATTTTAAAAGAGAGAGGGAAGTCACTGGGGACCGCCCATTAGGAGGGACAGGATGTCTACATGGCCTGAAAATGAGTTCCTTTGTAATAGGAAATGCACTACAATGCCTGGAGATTCACTTCTCTCAGGCTTCCAGCCCACAGCTCTTCCTGCTGGGATCAGGTTACCCAGTATCAGTGTTACCATTACCAGTATTGCAGTATCATTCAACTGGGTACCATTTAGCATTCAAACCACTTTCCAACAACTAACTTGGGGGTCCTAAAATAACTCCTAGGCCTTTTTAAAATGATAAAGCAACACTAGAATTCTCCTCTAGTCCTTCTATTTAGCTCTCGCCTCTCCCACTTCTCTGTCCAGAGGCTGGGAAAAATCGGCTGTTACTGTCCCTTTTTCAAATGTATGAATTCAAAGGTTCAAGAAAATCTTTCAAATAGTCCTGGGGTCTGCTAATGTCAAAGGGCACTCTTCCCCTCAACGAGAAAAACCAGAATGAAGGACACTCTAGGAACATTAGAGACCCGCAATCCTGACAAATGAGCATGAGGAAGACCATTAACATCTTAAACTCTGTGAATGACTGTCAACTTCACATGTAAAAGTCAAAGCAAAGACTGTTAATTAGTCTCACCTATGAAAGAAATGGCCTCAGGGAAAAACTGGGACAGGTTTTGGCTCCAGTGATCCGAGATAGGGATTTGCTTGTATTTGAACTCTCCTGCGTTCTCAAAGAGATTGGGCAAATTAGGGGTGACATTCAAGATGTACTTGATGCCGAACTCCTCCAACACGTCCAAGTTGGTAGAGTCCTTGGCACAGCCCAGGTAAAGGAACGGCAAAATCTCCACGGGGAAGGAAGGCTGGCTGTTGGACAAAGGGCTGCCATCCGAGTCTGTAGCACTATTGGGGTCTCGGTCAAGGTCAGACTCAATGTCCGAGGAAGAGTCAGAGCTGATCCGCAGGCCTCCGAGCCCCAGCACTGGCAACGGCGGAGAGCTGCTGCTACAGGAGCCGTCTAGATTGGTCTCACAGTGCAGGGCGAACTCGGCCTGGAACTTACTGAAGCCACCTGCCAGAACGAGAAAAGCAATCTTGTAACCCGAGATGCCATAGTAATTTTCACAGCTTGTGAGAATCGCAGCTGGGTGCAAGAAACACGATGGGCGCCCTATGAGCCCCCTGTAGAGTCAGATATTAGAGAAACACACAGAAGTGTGCACCTTTAGGGAGAGAACAAACCGGCTGCTTCCCCCAGGGAACACTTTATTCTTTTGAATCCGGAAATGCACAAAATGGCAACTTTTCTGAATATTCCAGGGGGCTAGGAGATGTCAACCTGCGCCCCAATCACATCTCCAGTCCCCCGACTCTTAACTTGAAGTCGAACCACAGATTGGGGGCGGGGGGGTAGAGGTGCCGGAAAGAAAATGCAGAACTGCTTAAAAGAAACCTTGAAGGCCGATGACCGGGATGATACCACACCGGCCCGGAGCGGATCGCAGCCGCTACCTCCCCGGAGGCTTCCCCAGCCCGCACCCGCTAGCCCCGCGCCCTGCACCCCGGGGCTCACAGCTTACCTTCCAGGTAGAAGGCCCGGCAGCCCTCGTCCTTGAGTTTCTTGAGCAGCAGCCCGAGGACCGACTCTCCACCGGTGTTCTCGTTCCAGTCGCTGCTGTTCTCATCGTACAGCACTACCGTGTCAGTGCCGCAGCGCCTGGTAAAGCGGTCCCGGTCCTCGCAGCGCGTGAATAAGGCGCGCACCGGCAAGTTGCCCTTCTGCAGACGCCGCAGCATGATGCCGGGGATGGCCACGTTGATGGCCGATTCGATGTGTGAGGACTCATACAGCTCCTGCGGCCGGCAGTCCATCAGCAGCAGCCGCTCGTTGCCCAGCTCCAGTTGCTCGTTGAGCCACGCCACGGTCTTGCTGATCGCCATTTCCGACGCAAAGGGCACGGGTCTGAGCTTATCTATCATGGGGGTCGAGCTGCGGGATTAGGCGGGCTGCCTAGCAGACGCCCCGCGGGGCAGGCATAGGCCGAGCGCGGGGTCGGAGCGGGCTTCGATTCCTCCTCGCCTTTCCCAAGCCGAGGCTAGCGGTTGAGGAGGGCGAAGACCAAAGGCTAGCCGGGGTCCCTCTGCACCCGACCGCTGTCGGAGCCAATGAAGGTCTGAATGAAGCTGCCCAGTTTTGTTCCTCCCCAGTGAATGAAATCCAATTAATTCGGACTCCGTGCCACTGAGAGGGGAGGAAGGCGGAAAAAGAAAAAAAGTCTAGCGGCGCCTAATCCCTCCCTCTGAAGCTGCACCTCAGCTCCAGCCCCGTCTTTCTCCAGGGATTATTCCAGACTGGGCTGGCTCGCAGTCCTAGGACTCGGCGCTTGCACACCCCCTGCGCGAGCCAGCTCAATGGATACAAACAGCGAGCGTCTCAATGGATACATTCTCTCCGCCAGCCAATGAGCGTTCTGCGGAAGGGGCTGTTGCCGTGGGGACGGGCCGGCTGGAACAGGTTGTGTTGATGAATTGTTAATGAGTTTGTCATTCACAAAAACGGAAAGGAATTTCCGCTCCGGATAAGCCCCAGTGCAAACAAGCTGCAACTGCGGGCTCGGCGGGAGGAAGGAGAAAGAAGAGGAGGCGGTGGAGGAGGAGCAGGGCACATAAACCAGGGCACTTCAGTTGTCTCGTGTTTCCTTCTGTTGAGAGTTGACACTTCGCGTCCAACTCTAGCGCACCAACGGTGCAATTAGCACGCACAAAAGCTCTTTTTCGCGACGCTTGCGCTCTCAAGATCGCTTTGGGAAAACTTGGGCTTTTTTTTCTTGATTCCCTTCATACGCCTCAGTACCCAAGTCCGCCATGCCCCCCTTCCTCCCGGGTCCTCCTTTAAGTCGTGTGTGGCATTTGTTTGGCTTTTAAAAGCCCATTTCTCTTTGCTGTGATGTTCTTTTAGCCGAGCCTGTTGGGGCTGGTGAACTGCTGGGGCTTTAGTGACCGACGATGTGTTAAATGCTAATCCAACATCTTTCCAAACAAACTAGGGCTTTGTTGAGACAGTTTAGAGCAATCAAACAAATAAACGACTGGTTATCCAGAAAACCAGAAGCAAGCGCCCCCCAGCCCTTTCTGTTTTCCCCAACTTTTTTAAAGTGATGGGGCGTGCAGAGAAAAAAAACAAACAACAAAGCTCGTCGGATAGTTGAACACTCAGTTCTGGTGGCGTGGGGCATTCTGAGCCATTGTTCGGGAGATCCACTTCCCCACCCGGGGCCACCTAGGGGGAGTCGTTCTTAATGATTTCTGGGCAAGAAGTTTGGGTCCTAAGAGGAGCCAATCTGAAGCGGCAGCCAAGGCTAGGTGCCAGTCCCAGCAACATCCTCGCAACAGCTAGGCGTGGGGAAGTCCTCCCAGAAGACCCGCATGCTGCGGGGACTCAGGCTGGCGGCGAGCGGCTACTTGCACAGCGAGGGTGGTTAGAAGGCCGCCTCCCTGCCGTCCCCCACCTCCTGCCCGCGCCACTGTCCGCCTTGTGCGCCCTGCTCTGGGCCACCGCACCACTGCCCGGGGAATGAGGGGACCCTGCGGACCCGCGTGGGCTAAGCGGGGAATTGTCTCCTGGGGAGAGACCTGGAGCAGGTAGAAGGCGAGGGGAGGGTGTGTGGACCCCTAGACGCCCGGGAACCAGGGACCGCCTCCGCTGCCCTGCACCGCCCGCAGGAAACTCGGAAGCCGGATGGAGGCGGGGCGGCGGGGGCAGGAGGCGCGTTCTCAGCGCTCGGGCGCGCAGCTCTATTGTTACCAAAAAGTGCCGAGGCCGCTCCTCCCGAGCGGAAAACCACCTGTGAGCGGCGGGCGGAAGGCGCGGGTCCAGATTCCGCCTGCCCTCCCTGCCCGGCGGAAAGACAGAGCCGCGCTGTCCCGCCGGGGCCGGAGGCGGAAGCCCGGGCAGTCGTCCTCCCAGGGCCGGCGCCCCCCGAGGGCAGCCGAGGGCGCCCGAGGTCATCAGCCTCCTCCTACCCTGCGTCCCGCACCGCCCTCGCCCTCCGATGCAGTTTGCGTGTTTAGTTACCCGCCTGTTCCAGGGTTTGGAAAATGTGGGCTGAATAAGGCGGCTTCGAGACCCAAATTTCCAATTTTGGAGCCCTCCAGCAGCCAGGCGGCCTTTGGAGGAGAGTTTCGGTGAAAAATGGGGGGTTGTCGCCATTCTCTCTCCGCGCCTTTTTTGGGCAGCGCTTGGAACAAACGCCCATATTTTTCTGGATAGCTTCCAATTCCAGCTGGGGGAGGCCTGCGCTGTAGCTGACGCCCCCGGATCCTTCCCCATCTGTTACAGACTTTCCAACCCTGAGACAGTTCAGTCTTAGGGAGGAGAGAAGTGGGATCCCCAGCAGCGGAAACGGGAGGAGGGAGCCTTTCAACCCAGCACCTCCAACAGAAATGGAAAGGTGGTTGCGATTCTCTTTGCCAAATTTTAAAGTCACCTGAGTAGGAATATAGATTTTGGAGGCTGGTCGCAAAGACTTGGCAAACGTGCAGATCTGAACATAAAGTTTTAACTGTGGTTCTGAGTTTGAGTTATCCCCACTTCCTTCAAAAAATGCGACCTTTTTTATATTAACTGTGCTCAGTTACACTCTCCTTGCCATTCTCTTTTACTTTATACGGTCTCTGCTATTAAATCGGTACAATGGAGTGTGTGCTAATGGTGTGCTATTAGTTGTGTTCTTAGCTAACTGGCAAAATGGCTTGAGCCCTTTGGGACGTTTCTTTCCGTCCCAAAGACTCCCCTTGAAACCAGCATAATAGCCTGCCAGGTCCCTCTCACAGCCACCCCCCCCCCCCCCCCCCCCAGGGACTGCCCAAACCTGTTTAATTCACCCCAGTTTGTCCTTAGCCTAGGCTCAAAAACACACAGCAACAGACTGAATCCTGTTACATTTCCAACTTCTTATTTTGTTCTTCAACTGCACCAAACCGATACCGTCGAAGTAGTATGCACTGGACAGTTACTACAGGGTGGGCATAGCTTTGTTTCTGTTGTCTACCTGAATAATTTTGGCCAGTCTTCAGAAAACCTATGCAAATTAGAGCAGAGCTTAAGGAATTTGCCTGAGACCATACAGTAGCAAAGAATGGGCTCTGGACTTGAGGCTGGACCCTTGAATATTACCAACCAGGCAGAGAGGTTGTTAGGTGCTATTTCCTACTAAGATGGGAAAGATTTTTTAAGTTGTACATTTTGAATTTTGACCACTAGACTTTTCCACCTCACACATTTTGTGGTATGCACCCCACATATGTCGGAGGATGTGAAGACTGATCCTTTTAGAAATTAGTAGCTTTCTTCATTAGTCAACCATTCACTAGAACTATGTTCTTTATTCCTTAGAGAATATTATCCTAGGTTCTAATCTTCACAATTACAGTTAATTTATGTGGGAACATGAGCTTGCCTTCAAATCTTACCCCCCTGTCATTTACCAACAGTCAGACAACTACTCAGTGACTACTGAACCCTTCTGAGTTTCACTTCATTTATTCACTCACTCAGGATCCAGGAAAGTTGAGTGAATAAGATAGAGAAGAAGATCTAGGGAGATACCTCAGTTGGTAAAGTGCTTGCTTGCCTTACAAGTATGAGGACCTGAGTTCGATCCCCAGAACCTCTGGTAACAACAAAACAAACAAAAAACAGGCACGGTGTTACACACTTGTAATACCAGGAGGGCAGTAGAGAGATCCCAGGAGCCAGCCAGCCTAACCTACTTTGAGGAGTTCTAGGCCAGTGAGAGATCCTGTCTCAAAAAGTAAGGTAGATGGCAATCCTGAGGACTCAGAGACATGTGAGTGACTTCATACATACAAGCACCTGCATACACATAAATGTATGTGAACACACACACACACACACACACACACAAATAAAAGAAATAAAAAGAATAAGCTGCCCTTGAGCTTATATTTCCATAAGGACTTCTTATTTCTATAAGAAATAAAATAAGTATATGCTAGAAAGCCAAAGTGCATTGAAGAAAACTTAAGCAAGGAAAAGGATCCAGAAATATATCAAGTTGGGAGTATGCATATTTACCTTAATGGAGACAACCAAGATGACACCCCAAAAGTATAGAGCACAAAGGTGGATACCCTAAATATGACTTTTCTTTCCTTGTGTTACTAGAGATTGAATGCTGGCTGGGAAACTATTCCTTAGTCCTTTTTTCATTTTTTTTTTTTTTTTAGCTTGAAAGAGTCTTGCTAAGTTACCTAGGCTAAACGAATTCACCCTATAGCCCAGGCAGGTCTTAAACTTACAATTCTCTTTCCTCAGTTATCAGAGTCTAAGATAACAGACTTGCAACCCCCCAGGCCTAGCAAAATATGATTTTAAGAAAAATCACTGTTTCATTCTTGAATTAAGCTAACTTGCTGCTGCAGATCATCCTGCCTTAAACAACCTTGTCTAGGTCCTTCTGTCTTCCCAAGCTCCTAAGAAGAGCTCTCTCCCAAGACAAGGGTTTTAGCCATGAAGCCATAATATTGACGGCTTCAGTTCCTTTCTTAGGGTATCATTTACATGTACAGGCTGTTTATTTATTAACTGTGGTGCTGGGGGTTGAACTCAGGGTCTCAAACATGCTCTGCAAGAGGTCTACCATAGAACTATATCCCAACCACAGGAAACTATTTTAAAAAATAGAAGAACACTGAAAGTCATCTCTAACCCACTCTCCTAAGCAGAGATGCACTGTGATGGTTAGCTTTAATTGTCAAGCCTAGCATCATCTGGGAAGAGGGTCTCAATGAGAGATTGCCTCCACTGAGTTGGCCTGTGGGAATATGTGTGAGGGATTGTCTTAAGTAAACTGATATGAAGACCCAGCCTTCCGTGGGCAGCACCATTCCCTATGCAGGGGATCCTGAACTATGTAAGAGTGGAGAAATGAGGCTGAGCATAAGCAAGCGAGCGTGTGTGCATTCGTTTCCCTCTGCTCTTGCCTGTGGATGTGATGTGACTAGTTGTCTGAAGTTCTTGCCTTGACTTCCTCACAATGATGGACTATACCTGGACTTGTGGGCTGATATAAGCCCGTTTCACCTCTAAGTTACTTTTTGTCAGGGTATTTTATCACAACCACAGAAATAAAACTAGGACACGTACTTTCAGAGATCCAGTTTTTGTGTGAGCAGACACTGAGCACCTGCTGCTGAATTCCTTGGGTTGTTGCACCCTGGAAAGCTTTTAAAAAGTTGCTAGTAAGTCTTAGTTATAAATTTGCTTTAGGCTCTTGGAGAAGCAGTGCAACTTTGCAGGAATTTTCCTCCAAGAAGCCTCAGAACCTTAGGACCCACATGAGTTAGCATGACCTTTAATCTTGGCATAATCTCTCTTAATACAATGATATTTA